CCCCAAAACCCCAAAACCCCATTAACTAGAAAATAATGAGCAAATCGAATCAAAGTATTCTAATAAATAATCTATTTCACATCTGATAACCATAAAATCTAGATTTCTCTAATTTCAATCTAAAATAAAAGCAAATATTAGCGATCCCAATCAACCCTACTACTATTGACAATATCATTAGTAGAAAGCTTAACTAAGTCTCATTTCTAATCTCTCTTGCTAATTAATCATGCTCCAGATAGCTTATATCTATATCTGTACTTGTTAAATAATCCATATTTTATAAAGCTATGAATATCTTATCCCTCTTCTATTGAATCAAATTCTAATTCTCTAGACTAAATTAACTTATAATTCGAGTGTCAAGGTATACTAAATTTCCCTGGTTCATGAAAAAGACATTCTATTCTGTAGAAATAGGGAGACTGTCTAGAGCCGCCATTATCCTTATATTAGTCCCATTAAATTGAATGATATACTCTTACTTGGTGATATTCAGTATCATGTACTCTATTTATCGAGGTGAAAGTTTTTTTATCTAGATAATGCGTCTTTCAATAGGTTTTATTGAGCAATCAGCACCATAATATCCCTCAAAGCAATAGCACTGTCCATTCTTTAAGCATAATCCCTGATTGTTGCAATTGTTCAGATAGACCTAGCATACATTTTCATTAAGTTAGTGGCATTGCTGGATATCGTTGTCTTGGTTGTGGCATTTCAAGGTTGCGAAATGAGTCATATCTTTTAGGATTTAAAGTGAGAGGTCCATGTTATCATCAGATACAAAATGACCAGTATTCTTAGCTACTATATAATGTAAAGGCCAGAGGGATTTATGATAAGCCCCTATTTCATAATTTGACATATTATTGTTAGTAGCATTTTTTTAATACATATAGTGCCTTCTGGGTTATCTATCGAACTAACTTTTAAACTGGAAATTTAAGCCAAGTAGCAAGGATTCGGTATGCTATTTTGAGATTTATAAATCAAACTGGCCCATTATTACAAAAACTGGGATTGGAGTGTTGAGGATGTTAACGAGATCAATCAATGATTTTTAGGTCAGTTCTCTGCTGAACTTCTAACTCAGCATGCGTTTTCTATTAAATAGCTGGAACTATTAGGGATCTGACCTGATGTGAAATGCTTTATAAATCTCAGTTGTTATATTTAAGTCTACTTATCCTTTGAATAACTTATTTATATTCATTATTTTTTTCCTAATTACTGAATCTGGTTTCCTATAGTCTGAGAGTGATACATTTCCACTCATTAGTTGTATGTATTAAAGAGCTTTTACGCATTCAGTAGTCTATTCTTTAGGGTACTCATTCATCAATGATAACTCGCACTAGTGATTAAGTGAGTTTATCAATCCTATACTATTCTAGTCTAATATACCTAATTCCATAGCAATATCTTCTATGCCTTATCTTTGCTGCATGGGATCGATAAGTGGGTTAAACATGATTATTCCTCTAATGTTGAATACGGAATAACTCAATTTAATGTTAAGCTTACTCTCTTGTGAGATAAATGTGGCAAGTTCAATGATCTGATTAGCAGAGTAACTTTAACCAGCAAGCATTATCATTTATCCGATTAATTCAGGATACAAGTTTCGAAGTTATTATAGCAGGGTATATATCTCATAGTTCAGATCTATATCCTGATCTTCCTGTTCAAATACAGTTTGAGATGTAAAGTCATTATATATAAATTGGTCTGAAATAGTAGAAGTGTACCTGCTAAATCCTGATGTGTGATCTGGATAGTCGAAGAATAAAAGATTTGTTTCATCTAACCATGATTTTGGCTTTGTTTAGATGTTTAATGATTCGTCTAAATTCAGTGGCCCAATGTCTAGCATGTTACCAATGAATAACGATGTACCAAGGCCTGAGTTGATCCAAATAATCAAAGGTCTTGGTATTTTCTGCTCTTAATTTGTCAGATTCTCTTCTTTAGAGTAGAGTTGATAGTAAAATGAAGATGATTCAGTGTTTACATAGCCAGAATATGCACAAGTAGAGTCACTTATATTAACATACTGATTTCTGATGACTCTATTTGGTGATTCAAGACATTTAAAATTAGCGCTCTGTAATAATATAGTCATAAATAGGAGATGCATAATTGGAAAGTTTGAACTAGATCTCGACCTTAAGTACTTACTCATTTTTACGCAATGTTAAATTTATAAATATATCAGTTAATTTTCAACACCATTAATACTTTCTGTTTCAATTCAATTTGATCCTTTGGGGTTTTGGGGTTTTGGGGTTTTGGGG